ATTAAAGGAAAATCAACCCACACAGAAGAGAAAGAACCAGCAAAAGAACTCTGTCAACTCAAAAAGCCAGTGTCTTCTCACTCCAAATGACCACACTAGTTCACTTTAAATGGTTCTTAACCAGACAGAAATGACAGTCTGATAGGATAGGAATGAATCTGTATAGGAATGAAAACCATCAAGATTCAGCAGAAAGTTGAAACCCAATTCAAGGAATCTAAGGAATCCAATAAAACAATACAAGAGCTGAAAGATAAAATAGGCATTTTAAGAAATAACCAGGCAGGGCGTGGTGGCTCAGGCCTGTAATCCTAGCACTTTGGAAGGCTGAAGCTGGTGGATCGCTTGAGCTCAGGAGTTTGAGACCAGCCCGGACAACATGGCGAAACCCCATCTCTACAAAAAATACAAAAATTATCTGGGCCTGGTGGTGTGCACCTGTAGTCCCAGCTACTTGGGAGGCTGAAGTGGAAGGATCTCTTGAGCTGGGGAGGCAGAGGTTGCAGTGAGCCAAGATCATGCCACTGCACTCCAGCCTGGGCAACAGAACCAGAACTTGTCTCAAAAAAAGAAAGAAGGAAAGAGGGAAGGCAAGGGAAGGCAAGGGAAGGGAAAGGGAAGGGGAAGGCAAGGAAAAAGGAAGGGAAAGGGAAGGGAAAGGAAGGGAAGGGAAGGGAAGGGAAGGGAAGGAAGGGAAGGGAAGGGCTGAGAAGGGAAGGGAAGGGAAGGGAAGGGAAGGGAAGGGAAGGAAGGGAAGGGAAGGGAAGGGAAGGGATAGGGAAGGGTTAGGGAAGGGAGAAAAGAAAGAAAAGAAAGATCAGACTGCTACCATGAGAGGACAAGAGAACATGGTCCCCTTGGTGCGGGCCATGGTGCAAGATCAGGCCCCAGCCTCACCTCAGGGGCAGGGACAGCGAGGAGCATGGGACAGGGGGATCCAGTCTGCGTTGCATCAAAATTTTGTTTTGTATTTTGTTTTTAATTTTCCGATGAATAATTCAGTGGCTATGCCAAGGTTGAAATATTTTTCTGTTTTCAGTAAGATGTGAGAAAAGGAAATGAATTTTAATGAAATGTTTTGGTTTACTTTATCTGAGGCTTCCAGTGTAAGGGGATTCCCACGCCCTAAACAGATGTCAGCTGTTTTATCCTCTTGCCTGCAAAAGGCAACAGAGAGCTGGGGCTCCCCTGCTCAGCCCTCTTGCACCCGCCTCCCCTATTTCCCAGATGGCCAGGACTACCTGTGAGCGCAGCACTAGGAGAACTTTGAATGTCCCAGTCATTCAGAAAACTAAAACTGCTAGTGATGATTATGATGTCTTCACAGATGCAGACCAACAGGTCTCCATAGGTGAGACCAAAGCACCTGTTCCAGGTTCCTGAGGCCTGTGCATCCCTGCCCCGCCAGGAGGCTCAGACTTTGGCAGATGGCCTACGCTCTCTGAGCCAACGACTCCCAGGAAGAACTTGAGTGTCATAAAATTCTGAAAACAAGATTTAAGGAGAGGTGGAGAAATGTGGCAAGATCTCTAAGGAGAACGCAGAGCTGTCAGGTGGAGGTGATGTCACAGACGTCTGAAAATCTGCCAGAGCATGAGCTAACTTATAGCTGCAGGCTCAGGACATGTTTCTGAGGAGAAGTTTCTGAACTAAGTTGGCAACTAACAGACTGCATAAATTCCCTTAAAGGGGATTACTGATGGGATTCCTTCTGATTCAACAAAACACCTGCCCAAAATGAGCTGTCATCAATGGATCCATCAAAGGAATGATACACTGAGCCCTTCTCAAGTGTTCGTGCAGTTGGGGATGAAGAGGCGAAGATAACCAGACCCTGCCTGCAAGGGCTTATGAGAATATGCTTGTTGAGACAGCGACTCTGCATGACAAACTGAAGAAAACCCAAAGAACATCTGTAACCAAGTGCTCCTTGCCTAGATTCTCAGCTGCCACCATCCCTGGGGTGTCACCATGTCTAGAGACCCGAGTGAATATCTGAAAAGAAAAAAAGAAGAGTAGTTGTTGAAAGAACACGGCTATAAAAGATTTATGTGGCCACTGGGGGCTCATAATAATTATCTTTTCATATCCTTTGCCAGTTAAGATTTTCAAATCACATTCTGTATCATTGTTCCCCTGGTATGAAAGGGTGAAGGTCTTTGTCCTGGTTTTACTGGTGATTTAGAGCACTGGGATTCCCAATCCCAGCTTCCCAGCAGCAACTATGCTTGCCTTTCCTGTATTGTGAAGGGGTTGTCTAGCAGGCAGAAAACCTGAAGACTGGAGGACTCTAACGAAAGCCACACCAGAGCCTCTCCTGCTCCTTCTTTTTCCCTAGGTCCAGTTCTCCAACAGGGGAAATGTCCCAAGCCTTCCTAGTGGAATGTGACTGTGTCACTCACCTTCCCATAGGTGGCCAGCAAAATGAGAAATGTTGTTAATCAACTTTCAATGTCCTCTCTGCCCAGCGCTTTGATTCCAACAGCCTGTAAATGCTGTTTCTACACTGGATTAGTCCTTCAACCCCACCGCACACGCTGTCTACTGTGCTCAATTTCATCAACCTGCATTACCTAGAGGCCAAGCAGACACCATCATCCTCCCTTGGGGATGAGAAGGTGATGGAGGGGACCTCAGGAGCCCAGCAGGAACAATGTCTGTCTCTGCAGGCTTTGCAGAGATCCTGGAATATGATAATGTGGCGGGCAGAGGCAGGTGGGAGAGGCATGTGTAGATCAGGCTTGAGGAATGGATCTGGTTAGGAAAAATGGGGTCAACAGAGCAAATGAAGCACCCCAGTGTGTAGACAGCTGCAACCAAGGGATGAATGAATCAATAAAAACCTGTAGGAATGTAATATAATGCAGAAAAACATAACTACCCCTTTCTCTGCCATTAGACAAGCTGATTCTCATTTACATGGGAGCAACAAACAAGAAAGACTGGACAGAAAAGCTGTGAAAAAATACAATAAGAAGGAAAATTTCCCTGCCAATAGAACAGACTACAAAGTGTTCATAATTGAAACAGTGAGGAAATGGCCAAGTGTCCACAAAAAATCCAGAAAGAGACCCAGAGACATACAGAAATATATCTGGTGACTCATTTCAGAGGAGGTAAATGTTAACATTTTAAATACATGGTGCTAGGACAAACGGATAACCATCAAAAAGACAGAGCTGGATCCACACCTCACACTGTACATGAGGATAAATTCCAAATGGATTGAAATTTAAACGTGAAAAATGAAATTTTAACAGCGTAGGAAGAAAACATGAACAAATTTATTTGGAATTTTGGTGTAGAAAGGCCTGTCTATGATTTTAAAGATCCAGAAGCCATAAACAAAAAAAAAATTGATTATATAAAAATAAAAAGCTTCTAGAGAGGGAAAAATATCATAGCAAAGCCAAAAGATAGGTAAATGAGAAAAAAAATTTTCAACTCATACCTTCTTAATATATAAAGACTTCCTAGAAATTGAGAATATGAAAAACCTATAGCCCAACAGAAAAGAGGCAAAAGATTGGAATAGAGTTCACAAAAAAGAAATACAAACGGCTCTTTTTTGAGACAGAGTCTCGCTAAGGTTGGAGTGCAGTGGCGCAATCTCAGCTCACTGCAACCTCCACCTCCCAGCCATTTTTTTTTTTTTTTTTTTTTGAGAGATGGTCTTGCTTTCATGCCCAGGCTGAAGTGCAGTGGCTCCATCATAGCTCACTGTAACCTTGAACTCCTGTGTTCAAGCAATCTTCCTGCCTCAGCTTCCTGAGTAGACAGGACTACAAGTGAGCACCACCACACCCAGCTAATTTAAAAAATTTTTTTGTAAAAACAAAGACAGGGTCTCATTATGTTGCCCATGCTGGGCTCTTAAATTTATAAAGGATGTTTGATGAAGAAAATGCACATTTAAAACTACACTGAGATACCATCTTTTATACATCAGCTTGGAAAAATCCAAAAGTTTCAGAACACTCTACAGATGTCTGTGCACAAACCTAGCTCATGGAAAGAAAAAATGGTTCCATTCTTGTAGAAGGCAACCTGGTACTTAAACGTCTAACAGGATGGCTAATGTACTACTGTTGCCCAGTGATCCCACCTCTGGGAATTCAACCACAGCTGCACATGGACAAAATTATGCAAGAACAAGATCTATCATTGTAACATTATCACAAGGAGGAATATTGGAAACATCTCAAGTGTCCATCAATGGGACAGCAGTTAAATAAACCTTGTAACACCATGCAACTGTTAGAAAAAATGAATGAGGGGCATTCTGTATCCTAATATGGAAAATTCTCCATACTATAGTCAGGGGGGAAAGCAAGTCTTAGAACAGTATGCTATCTTTTCTGAAAGAAAAGGGAGAGATAAGATTGCATATGCATGTTGGCATGTATTTGCATAAACAACACAAGAGTAATACACAGGAAACTAATAAAAGTGGTTATGGGGGCAAGGGATGGAACAGAGTAGCCAGGGATGGGGCAAGGACTGAGACTTTTGGTCTGCATCTGGTTCCGAGGGGGAATCCAAAGTCTTCTCAGAGGAACCAAGTGGAGAATTAAATTTCAAATTAAAAAAACAGGGTTGGGCACAGTGACAGTGGCTCACACCTGTAATCCTAGCACTTTGGGAGGCTGAGGCAGGAGGATATTTTGAGACCGAGTTCAACACCAGCCTGGCCTCAAATATCAAATAGTGAGACCCCCGTCTCTACAAAAATGAAGAAATTAACCTAGCAAGGTGGTGAACCTGCAGTCCCAGGTACTTGAGAGGCTGAGTGGGGAGGATCACCTGGGCCCAGCAGTCAGAGGCTGTAGTGAGTTGTAATCACACCACTGCACTCCAACCTGGGTGACAGAGCAAGACCTTGTCTCTAAAAACAAACAAACAAACAAACAAAAAAACAACAAAAACAACTAAACAAGCAATCAAATTTAAAAAAAAAAGAAAAAGTCAATAGGAAGAAATTCAAATGACAAAGAACTTACTCTGAATCTCTGCTCCACCCTCCAGATCTTTAATCTGAGTTCCATCCCTCATCCTGTCAAAACTCAACAAGGAGTTCCAAGTTTGGAGTTGGTGTTTCCTGAGAAAATCAGTTACAGGTGATTTGCAGGTTTAGCATGGCTATTTGTGCAGTCTAAATGTCCAAGCCAGATTTCTACAAGACAGTAAGATTACACCACGACAGGGGGAGCACACATGTATGTCTCTCCTATTTCTGATGTTATGTTGTAAATATTTAAAATAAAGCAATCTGGCCAGGTGTGGCGTCTCGTGCCTGTAATCCCAGCCCTTTGGGAGGCCTAGACGAGTGGATCACTTGAGGTCAGCAATTCGAGACCAGCCTGGCCAACATGATGAAATTCCATCTCTATTAAAAATGCAAAAATCAGTCGGGCGTGGTGGAGCGCACCCTGTAGTCCCAGCTACTCAGGAGGCTTGCTTGAGAATTGCTTGAGTCCAGGAGGTGGAGGTTGCAGTGAGCAGTGATCGTGCCACTGCACTCCAGCCTGGGAAACAGAGAGAGACTCTGTCTCAAAAAAATAGAAATAAAAATAAATAAATAATATATAAAAATAAAATAGAGCAATCCTTTATGATGTTTTAAAAGACTATGAAAGATGTATTTACAGGGTAGTTCCCTCCATGTTTTCTGAGCATGTATTGCCGGGAAGGCTCTGCGTCAGACCTCAGGGCCTCCTTGCTACTAGGAGAACCAGCAAAGTCCCTGTGGGCTGGGTCTTCCCCAGTACACTGTGCTGTAGCTCAAGCCACTCACCTTCATATTCTGTGCCCTGGCCACGCAGGTCTCCTGTTAATTTCTTGCCTTCACCTGTGCTGTGCTAGATACTGTTCACGCTGCTGTCCGCCTTCCCTCACTATCTGACAGGTTGACTTCTATTCACATCTCAGGTCTCAGCTCAAGAGCCTCTCTTCACACAAAGCACACCCATGGTTGCCAGGGGCTGGGTTGGGGGTCCTGGAAAATGACTGCTCAGGGGGACAGAATTTCTTTCTGGGTTGATGAAAATGTTCTGAAATTAGACAGTACTGATGGTTATAAAACTCTGTGAAAATGCTAAAAACCACTGAACTGCAACACTTTAAGAGGTAAATTTTATGGTACGTAAATAATATTAAATCATTCTTTAAAAATCCCTTCTTAACTGGGTGCAATGGCTCACACCTGTGGTCTTAGCTACTTAGGAGGCCGTGGTCACAGGATTGCTTGAGGCCAGGAGTTCAAGCTCAGCCTGGGTAACACAGTAAGATTCCCCAATCTCTACCAAAAAAAAATTAAAATTAAAATTAGCTGGGCATTAGTGGCATGCACCTATAGTCCCAGCTACTCAGGAGGCTGAAGTGGGAGGATCACCTGAGCCCAGGAGTTTGAGGCTGCAATGAGCTATGATTGCACAACTGCTCTCCAGCCTAGGTGACAGAGCCCCGTTTAAAAAAAATAAAATAAAAAATAAATCCCTTCTTCAAGGAAGTCCTCCTAGGTACACCTGGACACTCTAACTCAGAGGACTCTGTGACACCCATTACAGCAGATACCACAATTATAAATAGTAATGGTGTTGCTGGTTACTAAATGCAGTAGGATACTGAGGGTGTGGTAGGAGGGGTACACTGTCAATAATTTAAAAACAAGAATAGGATGGGCACAGTGGCTCTTGCCTGTAATCCCAACACTTTGGGAGGCCGAGATGGGTGGATCACGAGGTCAGGAGATTGAGACCACCCTGGCTAACTCGGTGAAACCTCGTCTCTACTAAAAACACAAAAAGTTAGCCGGGTGTGGTGGCGGGCACCTGTAGTCCCAGCTATTCCGGAGGCTGAGGAGGAGAATGGCATGAACTCGGGAGGTGGAACTTCTAGTGAGCCGAGATCGCGCCACTGCACTCCAGCCTGGGCGACAGAGTGAGACTCTGTCTCAAGAAAAAAAAGAAAAAAAAAAAAAAACAAGAATAAAACCAACTAAAAATTGATCCTCTCTTTACCATGCTATGTCCTGGCAGTTCTAAGTAACATCAGTGACAAAAGCCACCTCCCCTCCTCAAATATTTTTTGGTTTAAGTTCTAAATAATTGCAGGGACTACTGTTGAGTTTGAGTGATACGCTTGTAAGCTTCAAATTAACACATTCTAATTACTTATCCCTTAATAAGCATTATCATTCTACATATAACTTAATTCAGAAAATTCCTAATTACAGCAGTCCTCCACAGATGAACTCAAGCAATAGGGTTTGTTTGTTTGTTTTTGAGATGTTTGTTACTATAACAATTTGGAGTGGCTCAGCTAGCATTTCCAGCCCTGTGATACTATTTATGCCTGCCTTTAAAGTGTAGAATCAAAGTAAACACTGATAGCACACTGATAATAGAGAAAGAAAACAGAACTTGATGTAGCTCAATTCTCTCACTCTATGTAACTGCCTGAGTTTTGATCTGTGTTTTAAAATTTGAAACAGTGAAACAGTGAGAAGTACAAGGTGTAATATTTTTGTTTGATGAATGCAAATTTTAGTCCATGTATAAAATATTTAATTAAATTTGACACTTAAGTTTATTCTTTTCTTCTAATTGTTGTTTGTTTTAAACTAAAGGACAAGGCCAGGCACCGTGGCTTACACCTGTAATCCCAGCACTTTGGGAGGCCGAGGCGGGCAGATCACGAGGTCAGGAGATTGAGACCATCCTGGCTAACACGGTGAAACTCCGTCTCTACTAAAAAATACCAAAACTTAGCCGGATATGGTGGCGGGCGCCTGTAATCCCAGCTACTTGGGAGGCTGAGGCAGGAGAATGGTGTGAACCCGGGAGGCAGAGCTTGCAGTGAGCGGAGATAGTGCCACTGCGCTCCAGCCTGGGCAACAGAGCTAGACTCTGTCTCAAAAAAGAAAAAAAAAAAACACTAAAAGACAAATTAAAAAAAATTGTTACAACAACATTAGTAGTTGACTAAGCTCTACCTTTTACACAGTTCACTTAGAGAGAGAGGAAGAAACAAGAGAGACAAAGAGAGAGACAGAGGGAGAGACAGAGAGACAGGAAGTCAAAGAAGGAAAGAGAGGAAGAGTCAAAGAAGGAGAGAGAGAGAGACAAAGGAGAAGTCGAAGAGAAAGAAAGAGAGATGGAAGTAGTAAAGAAAAAAAACTGTAACCTATTCCTTTAAAAGCCAGGGTAAATTTCTGTCTACCCAGCCACGGTATATTCTTCTTATGTGGAATGTCGACCTATATCTGCCTCCCCACTAACTGGACAGGTACCTGCACCTTAGTCTTTCTAAGTCCCAACATTAACATTGCCCCCAGAAATCAGACTTTATCAGTACCCCTCAAAGCTCAAGTCCATCAGCACAGAGCCATACAACTATTACCCCTACCTATAGGGTTAGGAATGGCTACTGCTACAGGAACCGGAATAGCCGGTTTATCTGTTTCATTATCCTACTACCACACACTGTCAAAGTACTTCTCAGACAGTTTGCAAGAAATAACGAAATCTATCCTTACTCTACAATCCCAAACAGACTCTTTGGCAGCAGTGACTTTCCAAAACCGCTGAGGCCTAGACCTCCTGAGAAAGGAGGATTCTGCACCTTCTTAGAGGAAGAGTGTTGTTTTTACACTAACCAGTCAGGGATAGTACGAGATGCCGCCCAGCGTTTACAGAAAAAGGCTTCTGAAATCAAAGCCTTTCAAACTCTTATACCTCTGGAGTTGGGCAACATGGCAGTCTCCCCTTTCTAGGTCCCGTGGCAGCCATCTTGCTGTTCCTCGCCTTTGGGCCCTGTATTTTTAACCTTCTTGTCAAATTTGTTTCCTCTAGAATCGAGACCATCAAGCTACAAATAGTCTTACAAATGGAACCCCAAATGAGTTCAACTAACAACTTCTACTGAGGACCCCTGGACCGACCTGCTAGCACTTTCACTGGCCTAGAGAGCTCCCCTCTGGAGGACACTACAACTGCAGGGCCCCTTCATCACCCCTATCCAGCAGGAAGTAGCTAAAGCAGTCATCGGCCAAATTCCCAACAGCAGTTGGGGTGTCCTGTTTAGGGGGGGATTGAGAGGTGACAACATGCTAGCAGCTCTCACTCTTGGTGCTTCCTCGGCCTCGGCATCCACTCTGGCAGTGCTTGAGGAGCCCTTCAGCCCACCATGGCACCATGGGAGCCCCTCTCTGGGCTGGCTGAGGCCAGAGAGGGCTCCCTCTACTTGGGGGAGGTGTGGAGGGAGAGGGGCAGGTGGGAATGTGGGCTGCACATGGCTCTCTTGGGCCAGCGCGAGTTCCTGGTGGGTGTGGGCTGGGCGGTCTGCACTTGGAGCTGCTGGCTGGCGCCGCAGGCCCTGGGCAGTGAGGGGCTTAGCACCTGGGCCAGCAGCTGCAGAGGGCGAACCAGGTCCCCCAGCAGTGCCGGCCTCCTGCACTGCACTCGAATTTTAGCCGGGTCTCAGCTGCCTCCCAGTGGGGCAGGGTTCAGGACCTGCAGCCCACCATGCCCAAAACCAGTGCTCCACGCACCTCTTCCATGGGGCCCGAGCCTCCCCAACTAGCGCTGCCCCCTGCTCCTCTGCGGGGAGTCCCATCAACTGCCCAGCGGCTGAGGAGTGCCCGTGCATGGCACCGGACTGGCAGGCAGTTCCCCCGTGGCCCTGGCACAGGATCCACTAGGCGAAGCCAGCTGGGCTCCTGAGTCTAGTGGGGACTTGGAGAACTTTTATGTCTAGCTAAGGGATTGTAAATACACCAGTCAGCACTCTGTGTCTGCTCAAAGTTTGTAAATATACCAATCAGCACTCTGTATCTAGCTAACCTAGTGGGGACTTCTAGAACTTTTCTGTCTAGCACTCTGTGTCTAGCTCAGGGATTGTAAATGCACCAATCAGCACTCTGTCAAAATGGACCAATCTGCTCTCTGTAAAATGGACCAATCAGCAGGATGTGGGTGGGGCCAGATAAGGGAATAAAAGCAGGCTGCCCCAACTAGCCAGTGGCAACCCGCTGGGGTTCCGTTCCACAGTGTGGAAGCTTTGGTCTCTTGCTCTTCACAGAAAATCTTGCTGCTGCCCACTCTTTGGGTCCAGGCTGCCTTTAAGAGCTGTAACACTCACTGCAAAGGTCTGCAGATTCACTCCTGAAGTCAGCAAGATCACGAACCCACCAGAAGGAAGAAGCTCCAGACACATCTGAACATCTGAAAGAACTCCGGACACACCATCTTTAAGAGCAGTAACACCGCGAGGGTCTGCAGCTTAATTCTTGAAGTCATGAGACCAAGAGCCTACCAATTCCGGACACATTAGTTACTGAACAATTATTTACATAAAATAATGTTACACGAGGCTATAACCAAAATATTAATGTTTAATCTTTGGCAAATATAAAACTGATTGAATAACTGGATTGAGTTTTTTCCCTTTTTTTGCATGAAAATTTATTTTTATTCATTTTATTTACAAGATTATATAAAGATTCAATAAATGGAAATTTCCAGTGTTTGCATTTATTTTCTATCTATTTTTGTTATTCATTTCATGTTATGATTATTGCTAAAATATAATTTAAGCATATAGAGATTTTCTAACACTCCCTTTATTAAACTGTAATATTCATGAATATATTAATGAGCTACACACATTCTTTACTATATTTCTAAATATTCTCAATATATATCAAATACATAATAAGGATCTATATTTTGAAGAATATTCATATTCATTTAAAATATCTAAAATATTGTTTAATGCAAGGCTTTGGTAAATTGCCAAGTTTGGTGAATTAATTGTTTGGTGATTTAGCCATTCAGTGATTTGTTTTTTGCCCCGTGAGATAGTTTTATCTTTACCTCCATGGGAAAACTGAGTTATAGGGTATGTAAAATATTTGTTTATGGTCAGAAAACCAGTAAGAAGAGCTATGATCTCAACCAAGATCTTCTAATTCTAGCCATTATACTATATTGCTTCCTCACATACCTCCCATTAAAACTAAAGTTGACCATGAAATACCATACAGCTATAACTTCATCAGAAATGCTGCCTCGGTGAGGATGAATAGCCACATGGGCCTACAGACCCCCGTCTACACACCTATGAGTCCAGCTCTCACTTCAGCCTAGTCATCAAGAATTAGAGATCACACAGGGGCAACTCATCAAATGCCAAGGACATGTGTCCAAGGTGGTTCATTGGGTCCATCCTCTGGGCCAGGTTTTTTATCATGTTAAGTTCATTCCTGCCTCAGGGCCTTTGCACACACAGTTTTTTGTTGTTGTTGTTGTTGTTGTTGTTGTTTTGGTTATTTTTGTTTTTGAGATGGAATCTTGCTCTGTCGTCCAGGCTGAAGTGGAATGGCGTGATCTCGGCTCACTGCAACCTCCGCCTCCTAGGTTCAAGTGATTCTCCTGCCTCAGCCTCCCAAGTAGCTGGGGCCACAGGAACACACCACCGCACCTGGTGAATTTTTTTATTTTTAGTAGAGATGGGGTTTCACTTTATTGGCCAGGTTGGTCTGAAACTCCTCACCTTGTGATCTGCCCACCTCGGCCTCCCAAAGTGCTGGGATTATAATCGTGCCTGGCCTGTTTTGTTGGTTTTGTTTTGGCCTGGCTTTCCCCTCTGGCTTTTGAAATAACTCTTCCTCATGTTACCTCCTCAAAGAGGCTTTCCTTGATTACCATATCTAAAGTTACTCCTCCCAATCACTAACCATCGTTCTAGTGCTTTTATTTTATAGCATAAAGTACTGTTTCTAGGCACCATTCATCCATCTATATTTTTCTTTCTCTCTCTTTTCTTCTTTCTATGTCATATCAGTGACTTGTATAGAATAGATTCCTAGTAAGTATTTATTAAGTTATTGAAAGAATGAGGCCAGGCACAGTGGTTCATGCCTATAAGCCCAGCACTTTGGGAGGTCAAAGCAAGCAGATCTCTTGATCCCAGGAGTTGGAAGATCAGCCTGGGCGATGTGGCGAAACGCCGTCTCTACCAAAAAACACACAAATTAGCGGGGTGTGATGGTGCGCGCCTGTAGTCCAGCTACCAGGGAGGCTGAGGAGGGAGAATCACTTGAGCTCAGGAGGCGGAGGTTGCAGTGAGCCACAGTGGCACCACTGTACTCCAGCCTGGATGACAGAGACAGACCCTGTCAAAAAAGAAAGAAAGAAAGAAAGAAAGAAAGAAAGAAAGAAAGAAAGAAAGAAAGAAAGAAAGAAAGAAAGAAAGAAAGAAAGAAAGAAAGAAAGAAAGAAAGAAAGAAGCATGAAGAGATTTAACGGTGCTAAGGATTCTTCTGAGGTCACATCCAGGCTCAGTGGGACACAGTAGTGAGAAACGAGCCTGTGCTGTCATATGCAGGATGTGGGGAGAGCTGGTGCACCAGCACCTGAGAACCCTGACTTCCATATTATCCATAACGAGGGGACAGGCTAGGGCTTTACCCCATCAGCACCCAGCAACACACTAGCATCTCTCTATTCACAGGTGGGAGTCTTCAGGAGGGGAAGTGCGTAAGGCACAGGCAGGGCCCTGCCCAGCTGGAGACTGGTTTTGTGTCCAGAGTTTGTTCCTTCTGGTGGGTTCATGGTCTCGCAGACTTCAAGAATGGAGCTGCAGACCTTCGAGGTGAGTGTCAGCCCTTAAAGATGGCACAGACCCAAACACTGAGCAGCAGCAAGACTTATTGTGAAGAGTGAAAGAAGAGAGACTCCACAGCATGGAAAGTGATCCAAGCACGTTGCGTCTGCCGGCCTGGTGGCCAGCTTTTATTCCCTTATTTGTCCCCGCCCATGTCCTGCTGATTGGTCCATTTTACAGAGTGCTGATTGGTCCATTTTACAGGGTGCTGGTTGGTGCATTTTACAAACCTCTAGCTACAGGGTGCCTATTGGTGCGTTTTTACAGAGCATTGATTGGTGCATTTCACAAACCTCTAGCTAGCTACAGAGCGCTGACTGGTGCGTTTTACAATCCTCTTGTGAGACATAAAAGTTCTCCAAGTGACACCTGACCCAGAAGTCCAGCTGGCTTCACCTCTCAGTTTCGTATTCTACTCCAATACCATCTGGACACCTTCATTCTGGGATTAGGGATTTGACGGGTGAGCAGGTTACTCAATAGCGTTCAGAGTTCATAAACCAAGACTCTACCTGCTTCCCACAGCCTGCGTTCATGGGAAAGAAGCAAGAGAATAAAACCAGCCTCAGCTATATCGAATTCTTTCCTTCTCCTCCCAAGTCATTAACAAAGACTGACACTGTAGTATTTATCAAAAAATCTTGTTCCCTAAGTGGTGATACAGAATAATTATCTCAGCATGCAATCAGCTCAGCGATCTTCTTCAAAGTAATTTGTGGCAAGGATATGCATTTTTTAAATACATTAAATTTTCAAGAGCTTGCCTCTGAAACCTGGTCAGAATGTATTTACAACTCACCTGGTAAGATGATGCATATCTTGAAGCTGGAATTCTCTTTCGTTAGGTCTTGCTTAATTGAATCAAGCAAAGTCATTTTGGGATCGTCCCAAAAGAAAACCTTTTATCTCAAGGCAAATATGTTTTAACAAGGCCCTAAGGTAAATAAAAGCCAGGTTTCCACTCACCGGAGCTCTGTGCTCCTCCTTTCAAAAGCCTACCACTCTACTTCATTTGTTTTTCTTTTAAGTGAGGAAATTGCTTATGGAGTTAACTGTTGCCAGGGAAAGCAACGAGTTGCCTCTCCCCTCCTCCCCGCCTTTACTGTTAAGAAACACCTTGTTTCTCTCCCTTTCTTCCTTCTTTCTTTTAAAATAAATAAGTTATGCATAGCGGGAGCGTGCATGCAATGCTCAGGCGTGGTCCTGGTATAGCCAATAGCGTCATATTTAGCCCTGTTTAATTCCCACTGTCTTGGGTCTAGAACTTAGACTTTTGAGAAACCTTTATGGAATTAATGAAAGCTCAAAGACCAAGATTCTGCATTCCCCCAAATCCTGGAGTGCAGTAGGAGCCCATGTAGGGCTTGGGACGGGCTCTTTCCCTCAGCAGGCAGGACAGCCTCTGCATCCGTGACCACCTTCCCGCCCCCACCATCTCCCTCCATCCCCCCCCCCCCCCCATCCCCTGGTGATATCCTTCTAGCGCAGGCTGGGGCTCTGGAGATCGGGTGGGGCCGAGATTCTGCAACTGTAACCAACTCCCCTGTGGGGGGCATGGGGCTGGTCCCTGGGGCGCACTCCAGCCTAGAGAAGTTGTGACAGATAATTGACGTGATCGGGAGGGGCGTCCAGGCAGACCTCATGTGACTTCTAAAACCAACCCCACAAATCTAAAGTGTGGCTTGCGTGGTCAGCCGCCTGACCGGCACCCGGTGAACAGTTTCTCCCGGACTCTCTGCATCTAGCCCCAAAGAATCTAAGATTCTTTGTCCAGAAAAGTGCCCTTGTCTTCCCTGGCACCCTTCGCGGTGGGTTTCCTTGACTCAGCATAAACTCCCGTTCCAGCCCAAATCAGAGGCGGTCGCAGCGGCCAGTTCCTCGTCTCCATCAGCATCCGCGTTGCCATTTCCCCGTCCTGAGCTGTTGCTCATATCAAATGTCACTTGGGGATGACTAATAATCGATGTTGATTACGAGCCTTC